CTGAGGATACCTAAAGCCATTGAGAGAATATGGTCAAGGCAAAGATTGATGCCTTGGTTCCGTGCAGTGATGACGTCATGGATGTATGAACGCGCGAAACGTCATATGTCGAAGAACACGGAAGCCTATCAATCTTTCCAGCTAGATATAGGACCAGGAGCCTATAAGAGAGCATTCTTGGCGCACAGAAACGCGGTCACCACAGCGGTGAAGCGGGTAGCTGGAACACCTTGTGTTACTGAAGATGAGAAGAAAGAGGTCTTAAGAGCTGACCTAGAACGAAACGTGAGCCTATGTCTTCACAACAGCTTTTGCAGGAACCGGGAGCAGAAGGTGAATGTGGACTTGCTACCTTGCTGCAAACCGAGGCTGTTGGAACAGGAGAGTTGGGGCACGGCCCGCAACTCCATGGACATGCTGGAGAAAGTGTTGGAAGACAGCGAAGATCAGGATGGAGAAGTGATGGAGTGAAGATGACCAAAGAAGAGAAGAGAAAGAGAGAAAACTTGATTGTATTTGTGTGCTAAAACTTAAACCAATCAACCAAGTTTTGATTATTGAACTTGTTAAACTTTTTGTTTTGATCTAGTTTGGTCAGACCAAACTTTGAAAATGTTGCAATTGTTAAAATTGTTGAAATTGTTGATTTTAGTTATGGCTATTTATGTATGTATATGAGGAATCTAGGTGAGTATATTTACCTATTTATTCACGACTGAAGATTTTAACCTGTGTAAGACACAAATTCACTGTGTGGCGACATGGTAAGTTTGAGTAAGCTCGCTCTGGAAGGGTGGGTAACTCAAGAACTTTCCTAGCCACAGAGTTTCTTAGTTTTAATATTGAAAGGACCGCATAAATGACTGATTATACTTGGTGAGTGAAGTTAAGTTAATTTTAACGGGTGCGTGGCCGTGCCACGTCCCACTTTTTAATCACAAAAAGCGAAAAGAAGTTTTATGGCAAGACGACGTAAGTAGTCAGAAAAGAAATTTTATCTAGGACACTCCTCATGGTGCAAATTTTGTGAAAATATTGAAAGGCAGTGAGATGTAGTACGATGCCATTTGTGAACACGTAGTGAGTTGAGGTGGGGTAGATAAATTTCATTTTCTTATGCGATTTGTAAGATTGATTACAGAAAACTGGATAACTACTTGACGATAACCCGGTGTTATGCGATCAATAGGGACATTGATGGAGACTTGTCCGGGGAGTATGTGCCATTCTGCCAGATGACACAGCACAACCTTCCGGCGACATAAAAAAGAGTGACTAAAGGCCTTATGAACAAAAAAGTGTTGCGACGGAGGGTCAGAATGTTCTAGAATTTTTATTTTTAAAATTTTGATTGGAAGAAGAACATTTCTGAGAAATAGAGAAAAGACGGCCATTTTGAATAAAAAGACGAAAAACAACGACGCCATATATTGTGAAGAACAGTCGTACCAGAGACAGGAAAATTACGAAGCCTCTTATCGTGGCAATAACACACGATAAGAACCTTAGCGACGGAAATTTGTGGAGAAGGAGGCTTCAGTGGGGGAAGAAATATACCACGGGACCCTCCCGGGACACGAAAAATAAGAGATAAGAGTGTTATCTCAAGAATATTACGGGAGCGGAGGCTTGGTCCCCCAGAGACTGTCTATGTGAAGGGATTGTATAGACTGACTGTATAGCTGCTATAATGTCATAGATCTTAATTAACACCGTTATTGTTTAATATTTCAGAGTATGAGTAGCTAGAAAAAGGAAAGGGTCAATCCATCTCCAATGGATTTAATATAGGACTGTCACACAAAAACATAATAAAATAGGTTGTTTGAGCCGTGTTTTTAATGACAATCACGTAGTCTGAGGATCCGAGACTCAGCTATGTGGTTGTGTTCGCATGTAAACGAAAGCTCATCAAAAGTCGTTTGACTGATGGCCTAAAAATGGTAACTTTTTACTTTGCCCTAGACAGACCAGAAAATCAACTGGCAAGGTCGAGACGGTGAAAAACGAGTAGAATTAAGGTTTAATGACAAAAACGGCTTGTGCCCATGTTGCAGCAGGAAAGTCACATATAGATCAAAGGGGGTTGAATGCGAGAGTTGCCGAGAGGGGTAATCAACAGGGGGGCAACCCGCCCGTTTGTACGGTTTAGCTAAGGTACACAAGGATGAGACACCCCTACGACCTGTACTATCACTTCCCGGCAGCTCGTATGAGAATCTTAACAAAATGCTGGCAAAGTTTTTTGACAACATCGATGGAGCAAATATAGAAACCAATACTAAAGAGGCTAGAGAAAAAATAGAAAACATTGCTCTAGATCCGGATGAAACCATAATATCTCTTGATGTGAAAAGTTTGTACACCAACGTTCCCCTGAAGGAGGCAATTGAAATTGCTTTACAGAAGCTGTACAGCCAGGAGTCTCCTCCTGAAATTCAAAGAGCAACCATGAAAAGGCTTTTGAATATGGCGGTCAGCAAAGTATATTTCAAGTGTAATGATTCATGGTATGTACAAGTTGATGGTTTAGCAATGGGCGCGTCCCTCGCTGTAATTCTGGCAAACTTATGGCTGAAAGAATACGAATATGCTCTACGACAACAGATACCGGTGGGAACGGGGGTACAGCAATTTAATGACAAAAACGGCTTGTGCCCATGTTGCAGCAGGAAAGTCACATATAGATCAAAGGGGGTTGAATGCGAGAGTTGCCGAAACTGGTATCATCTAAAATGCGGAAAAATATCTGATGACGTATACGCATCAATAACCGAGATAGTCTGGTACTGTGAAAGCTGCTGCCGAGCTAAGAACAAGGAAAAGGATACTCCCCAGGTGAAATTGTTCCTCAGGTATGTGGATGACATTGTTAGAACAGTCAGAGGGGAGCCGAGTTGTCTTCTCGATGCCGCCAATTCTCTTCATCCAAATTTGCAGTTCACTCTAGAGAAAACTAATTCGGAGGGGAATTTGCCGTTCCTGGATTTGAACATAAATGTATCGCAGGATAGGCGTGTAACTTGCAGTTGGTATCAAAAACCAACCGATACAGGGACTATACTGAACTATAGAAGCTGCGCCCCAACTCAGTATAAGCGTAGTGTTATCCAAGGCACTGTACACAGGGTTTTTAGGAGTACATCTAGCTGGGAGCAATTTGATAAGGCTATGGAAACTAATAGGGCGCAATGGCTGACAAATCAGTACCCTGAAAATTGGTCCGCAAAGGTGGCTTCAGACGCCTTGTGCAAAATCATCGAGGGTAAAGGCAAGCCCCTGGATAGTGACAGGGGTTTGTCAGTTCAATCACCAAAGGATGAGAAGCCCCCAATGCTGATGGTGCAATATAGAGGTAACCAGAGCCAATATTTTGCTAACAGGTTACGAAAATTAACGAACGTTCAAGTGGTTTTCACCACAAGAAAACTACAATCATGTTTACCATCACTGAAGTCAGCATTTTCTAATGACCTCAAGTCAAGAGTGGTTTATAAACTGTCATGTAGTGGATGCACTTCCACCTATGTCGGACAAACTGTTCGACATTTGACCACTAGAATTGAGGAACATAAGAAAGCAGACTCACCGGTAGGCCTCCACCTTCAGCAATGCCAACTTGAGGGAAATAGCGCAGATCTTAGTTGGGAAATTATAGATAGGTCAAACAACCAAACAAAATTGCTAACACTAGAGGCAATACACATCAGGAAAGAGAAACCGGGCTTGAACACGCGCGATGAGTTTAGGAGCAGGGAGTTAACACTGAAAATTTAGTCCCAAAATATTTTTGGTTTTTTATTCAAAACGTACATGTCTAAATCGAAATTATGACTCAGAAACTTCCAGACAAATTAATTTTAAAATGTTTAATTAATTTTAGAGGTTAAAAGTATTTTAATCTTAATAGTAATTTAGAGGTCAACTGTGATTGGCTAATTTTTTATCATGATGGTTTAGAACCAAATTGTATGTGATTTATTGTAAATAACTTTTGTAAATTGATGTTTTATCGTCATTTAGAGTAGTTTATTGTAAAAATCCTGACGATGCACATAGTTGCAAAAACGTTTGAAATTTACTTTTTAGCAAAAATTTCTTAAGGTAACTGACGCCTGCCAGTCGTTAATAGGTACTTTTTCTACGCTCCGTCGCTGTGTGATATTTGGGCGAATGTTACAGAACAAAAATAATAACAAATCAATAAGTAGTAGTAGCCCTGTTTTCAGGAGTGACCTCGTGGTCTGGGGATACTGAGACTCAGCCATGAGCTCACTATTTCTGCATGTAATTAAGTTAATTTGAGTGTTTTGACCGAAGCCGAAAGCAGTAACGTTTTTTTGTCGACCCGATGTTAGAAAGACCACCGAAAGTACTGGCTTGGTAGAGACGGTGAAAAGCATGTAAAGCTCTGTTTAGACGTTAGTCAGTCGTCTTAGGACTTAGTTTTATTTTCCGTCGATATGTATCTTCCGGGCGAATGTTACACTTCTTCTAGAAGAGAAAACAAATCTGAACCAGCCTGAGTACGGAGATGGATGAGTTGATGACCATCATCGGTAATATCATTGATATCCAGGCCATCGGTGAAGCACCTTCTCCACCATCGCCACTGCTCGGGTGTCGGCTTTGCTGGAAGCACAGGTGACTTGAACTTCGTTGTTGAATAAAATTGTTGGAGGAAACGCCGCTTCTTTATAAAGCTTTTATTCAACAATATCTGAAATCAACATTAACATATAACAAATATATAACAAAGACAAATACCATATTAACTAATCAGAATCGAGGTGAGAATGCAAATTTTCGTTATAAATATTTATTAATTTCTCACTTGTCTCGATTTTGATTGGTTTATACAGTTTTATTCTGCTTACTGACGAGTAAGCAGTATTGCCTAAATACTGCTACGTAACCATCTAATCTCTAAAGGAATGAGGTCTCTGATTATTGCCCAGTTTGCGAGTATTTTAAATTTAGTTCAATTGTTTTTTTTTTTCAGTCAAAATGAGTGATAGTCAGAACCATCACGATATAACACATCTTTTAACTCCGTTTTTTGATCGGCAGTTAATTATTCCCTTCTTAGAGTTTCTCAGTGGTAAAGAAATTTATAAAGAAGAACATATCTTAAATGCTAAGATAGAGCTCTTAAGAGGAACTAAAATGGCCGATGCATTGGTGGAAATATATGAAACTATGGGGGAAACTGCACCTGATGATCTTCTGGCTCGAAGAGAAGCTATTGTTGCTGACTATAGGTTGAGAGAACAGGAAATAACTAATATTGTTGGTGCTATCGAGAGAATACAACAGGACGAAGGTAAGATTGATCGGCCAATTTTGTTGCTTATGAACGAAGAGAAGACATTTATTTATGATGGCCCTTTTCAAACCCCCTTTCAAATTATTCCATTTTTCCAGCTGATTTTTTTGCTATGACTTAATGAGGGATGTAACGTAAAGACAATAAATCCGTTTTTTCGAGTTGTTCACGCTTAAATTTCAGTTTTTTCCTGGTTTTCTCTGCTGTGTTTCTTATGATTTCTTTTTATGGTCACAAGTGTTATAGACTCAAAACTTTTCAAATTTTTGCTTGTGCAAATTAAGCATCAAATAAGATACCGCTGAAATCAAGTGGGCCAATTAAGAGTCGATGGACGTAGTTCAGACTTTTATATAGGTCGCGATGATTTTTTTCGTTTTTTTTTTGTCAGAAGTCTTTAAGTTGAAAGGAAGGCAACTTCCACTATTAAACAGCAAAGGTGTAAAGTTCTCAAAAACGTGATCCATTTCTAGGTTCGAAAGTGGAATTAAATTTTCAGATTTCTCAGCGAAATGAAAATTTTCCTTATTGATTCAGTTTCACAAATTGAAATAACTTTATCAAACATATGCCAATCAGAAACTCAATAAGCTTTAAGGGCATCTATATTTAAAATTCGAAAGATGAGATTTTTCAAAATACAAGTCAGTATTTCTTTTTCTGTTTACTTGCGTTCATTGACTCTTTTCCAATTGTCTGTTGGCTATGTTTGCATTTTGGCTATGTTTGCATTTGAGAAAGTCTTGAAAACGACCGAGCAGCGTCTATTGATTAACTTAAATGCTGTAGTTTCTCAGCTTTAATGGGACCCATCTGTCACACTTGTTGCTTACAGTCTTAAGTTCCATTCAAATTTATTGGTTCTGCAATAATGGAAGGACAAATTGCAGAAATCGTGAATCAGTTAAAGATTCGAAAGCCGATTTAAGTTTTTATGTTCCCCAGTGGAATAAAAGAGTTCCCAGTGTATTTGGTTCAAGGTGAATTTTCTTAAATTGGGTTAGTGAAAATAATTTTGAAAATGAAGTACCTGAAGGCCATTTATACATTCTTAACCTTAGCGAGTGCAGGTCAAGTGTCTTATAATTGGGAGCTAGACTTTTTCTCCCGTATCAATCTATGTCTATATATTATTTCCAGCCATGTTTAAGCAAGTTTATATGCTTAAGAATTATACGCTACATGTTTTTGCAACAGTCTATAGTTAGAAAGCTATGCTGTGCGAATAGGTTTTGTGCGTAACCGCATCGTTTTAATTGAAGCATGCATATTTGAACTCAATCATGCTTTGGAATGTTTTATTTCACCTTTTTATATATATAATTTTTTTCTAAACTTAAATCCGACTTGTTGCGTGCTATACTCCGATTTGAGCTTTAGTTTCTATTTGTACTATTATTACAATAGCGAACTTTTCTGAGCGTTTGTGTATACTATGACTACTCTTTTTTTCTAAGCTAAGTCGCAAATATTGGTGCCACTTTTGAAGCACTAACGGCTTTTTGATAGCGTGTGCTTTGATATTCGAATAGTAATAAGATAACAGTTGATGCATTTTCAGTTCGTCAAATGAACCGAAAAAAGCTATTTGTTTCAAGCAACAACAATTTTAAAAAAATCGATTTCAGAATTTTTAAACTCATATCTCGCAATGTTTTGCAATGCATAATTTATACATAATGTGGCTTCATGCTTTCCTTTTTTCTTTACTTACAAACTAACGGTGGGTTCCTTCAGTTTGTTATAATCCAAATTATTACTCGCAAAATTGGGACTATTTGTATTTGGTGCCGCTTAAGCTGCATCGCATTGGCAATTTATTAGCATTAGTAGCTGCTTTGTTTTTGACTATTGTTTGCCGATTGTTAAACGTTCGTGGCCTAGAGAGCGGGGAGTGAGATTCGAAGTTGTAGGTTCGAGTTCAATTTGTTACAAAGTTTAACCAAATCGAGGCTTACTTCTATTTTTCTTATTTCACTTTATAGAGCTGCATTTTTGTCCTCGCTAGTGTTTGCAAAGCGCAGTTTCGCCTCTGTGCTGATTTTGGGCTTCAGTGTTTGTTTTGGAAGCTGAAGTCCCTCTTGAACCTATACACTACTGGTTACTGCTGCATGGGCTCAGTTGGTGTCCGCTGTCTGAAAAGCGCCCATTCAGTTCTGCGGATGTTATGGAGGCTATAGGGAAATGGCTGTAAGGAAAGTTTTTTTCAAGTTCGGGTCTGTTTAAAAAATTTTCTTGTCCTTAAAAAAAGCCGTGCGAAGTTTCAAGTTCATTGATATCTATCTATCTATATCAATCAATCCATTTTTTAAATGCATGTGAAAGCTATCTCCCCATGTTTACGCTTTCTAAATTTTGCTTCCTTAATGAAAGAATTTTCACGTTCAGGCCACAAAGTATATTGCATTGCTTAAGTTTTTTTTTTGATTTTCAGCTCATGAATGATGGGCCTATTGTAGGGCTATAGCATGGTTACCAGCATGAAAGAAGAGGAGGCGCGCAGCGCAGTGAAGTGTATTGTAATTGTTGGATTCATCCATCTATACATGAACATGGTGTTTTTGCTTTCCGCGGTTATTTCAAGAAGTTTGAAGTTTTTTACTTTATAGTGGAGTGCTGTCTTGGATGTCCCGGCAATTGCAAAGTTGGCCTACAAAAGTGAATACCTAAATATTTTCAGTTTCTGAGATATGCAGTTTTCGAAAACAGATTTCAAAAGCTTCATGAAATTTGAAATTCACAACCCTATAATGGGTTGCTGTCAGTGTAATTTCATGGATTGCAAGTCCTACAATCAAATATGTCTGCTCACATTCTTTTAGTTTCCGAGATATGACGTTTTTTGTTTTTTTTGAAAATTTTAAAATCAGGCTTAACACTTGACCTAATTTGAAATTTCGAACCCTACAGTGGGGTTATGTCAGGTTACTCTCAGGAATTGCAAAGGTTGTCTCCAAATATGTCTGCTATATCTAAATCTTAGATAGATTTAAAATTCCAAACCCTATGGTGGGGTGCTGTCAGTGTCACAAATCTTGCCTTCAAATACAGCTGATCAAAGTATTTTAGCTTCCGAGATATGACCTTTTTTGTAATTTTTAGAAAGGTTTACAAAAATTGGGTCCAAAAAAGCTGAAAATTTTGAAAAGTTCAAAATTTGAATTTCTCAATCCCACAGTTTGGTACTGTCTAGATACTTCAAAAGTTGACAAGTTTTTCCTTCATAAATAACTGATCAATGCCTTTATACTCGAGATATGGCGTCTTGATGTTTTTTAGGAACTGAAAAGTACTAAACAGAAAAACTTCTATAAAACAAAATTTGCTACCCTTAGAGTAACCTGACATAACCCCACTATAGGTTTCGAATTAGGTCAAGTGTTAAACCTAAGATTTTAAAATTTTCAAACAAAACAAAAACGTCATATCTGGGAAAGTAAAAGAATGTGAGCAGACATATTTGAAGGCAAGACTTGTAACCCATGAAAGTACCCTGACAGCATCCCATTATAGGTTTGGGACTTTCAATTTTCGTGAAGGTTTTTGAAATTTGTTTTGTTGACAAAAAGTGAAATTCCAAGCCCTATAGTGGGGCTGTGTCAGGGTAATAACAGGTGCACAAGTCTTGACTTCAAACTTGACAGCTCAAAATTTTTTAGCATCCAAGATATGGCTATCGTAGTTTTTTATGTAGGTTTCTCAAAAATTTGAGTTTCTCAATCCTCTTCTTTTGTGCTGTCTGGATAATCGAAAGGGTGGCAAGTCTTTCCTTCAAAAATGACCGATCAGCGCCTTTATACTTTCGATATAGCGTTTTGATGGTTTTTCATAACTAAAAGTTCTTCATTGAAAAAACTTAATAAATTTGAATTTATCGACCTTTTGGTGGTGTGATATCAGGATACTCCTGGAGATATGGCTTTTGGTGGTGTGATGTCAGGGCACTTGGAGATATGGCTTATATAATATGATTGCCCAAAAGTTTTCCGTTTTTGGAACATGACGTTTCTTTATTTAGAAACAAAAAATTATTATGAGCTCAGATTTATTATTTCTTTTCAATTTTTGAACACTATTGCGGTGTGATCTGAAATTACCCAAAGAGTTAGCAGGTGTAGCCTATAACTTTGACTTCTTCAATCATTTCAATTAGATCCTATCAGCTATCCATACATTCAACAAGTCATCCCTCCATTTAGCTATCCTCCCAACTAGGCATCCATCCATCAAGCTATAAATTTATCGATCAAGCCTTATTTATCAAGCGATCCATCCATCAAGCCACCCGCCGGCCCAGTCATCATTTTATCAAGCCGTTCAACCTTCAAGTGTTCCAATCGTTTAGTCATCAATCTATCCAACCAGCCAATCATTCATTGATCGGCAAATCCATCTAGCCGTGCATCCAGCAAGCCATCGATCCAGCTATTCATTTAAGTGATCCATTCATCAAGCCATCCTTCATCAGGTCATCCATCTATCTAGCCATCAACCCAGCTATCTATCCATTCATCTATCCAGCCGTGCAATCAACCATCCATTCATCTTGCCATCCGTCCATTCAACTAGCAATATTTTCATCTAGCTATCCATCGATCTAGCCATCCGTCCATCCTGCGCTCCATCCATTCATCGTGCCTTGCCTTCCATCCATTCATCATGCCTTCCATCCATTCATCCTACCTTCGATTCCATCCGTTCATCATCGATCTAGCCATCCATCTATCTAGTTATCCATTCGTTCTGCCTCCATCCATCTAGCCTTTCATGCATCCCATCAGGTATCCCTGCAGCCGTCCCTTGTCAATCTAGCCATCAATCGAACCAGCCATCTCTGCATCCAACAGCCCATCCGGTCAGCCATCGGTCCAACAACCCATGCGTGCACCTGGCCATCCTTCGAATCAGTTATCTCTCAATCCCGCCATCCATCGATACAGCCATCCATTCATCTAGCTATCCATTCAACCACCAATTCAGCTAAACATTCAGCCAGTCATATATCCAGCCATCAACCCATCGAACTGTTCAACCAACCAGTCATCCATCCGCCGAGCCATCATCCATCTGTCATTGGTTTCTCGCGTCCGCCAGAAACCCCCCTCCCTTAATTCGCTGGTTGATAAAAAAACAATGAAAAAAAATATATTCTAACGAAAACAAAAGGGAAAATTTTGGTATTTTTCTTGTTTTTCTTTAAATATATATATATATTTCATTGTTTGTATCAAAGATTTAAAAATTAATAAACATCGCCTTCTCGTTAATTGCCAGATTTTTAACTAATTTTTCATAGTTGCCAGATTTCTTTCTCGCAAATGGCGACCCCATTCTTCGCCGCTGTGTTATTTTTTTAAACGTTGTATTAAGTACTGAATTCATTCGAAATGCGCAATTATAGAATAAAGGAATTGTTTTGGCCTAAGAGTAAGGACACGTTCAATTTTTCTTAGAAATGTTTACAGGAATGAACTGCGTCGTCTGAATGAAATATCTGTAGATTGTGTTCAGTAACATTGATATTACATTTATCTTGTTCAAGATATTAATTTGGACCTTGAGACTTTGCAACGGGAGCTACAGGAGGATGCTGTTGAGGCAGTTCATCGTATATACCACTATGGTAAGTTGCAATACGATACTGGAAACTATCCTCTGGCCATTGAGTATTTGGATGTGTACTCAGCATTGGCACCGTCTAGTGACAAGTACAGCATGAGCGTCATTTGGGGAACTATGGCTTGTTATATTCTGAACCAGAACTGGGATCAAGCTTTGGAAGACTTGAAGCGTTTGCGACAAATTATTGATCAGAACTCGGGTGAGCTTTGTTTTTTGAAAACACGGATAAGTTCTATGCTCTGCATGATTTGACAAGGAAATATTCTTTTTAGCAACTGCGAACCCCCTGCAATCTCTGCAACAGCGCACCTGGCTCATCCACTGGGGTCTGTTTGTCTACTTCAACCACCCGAAGGGACGCGACCTCCTCATAGACCACTGTCTGGTGTCCGACCAACAGTACCTGAACGCCATCCAAACCCAATGTCCACACATTCTCAGGTGCGTCACAAGTCATTGCTTCTTCTTACACTAGCAAAGCTTGGGCGATAGCATGAACTCTCTTTTTTTTCCAACCTAATATGCAAATATTGTTGCGACGCAAGTATTGTGGCGACAAAATGTGTTAATTTTGAAATTGTTCATTTTGATCAATAGCCAGCTATTAAGTACAGCCAGTAACAACAGCCAATAATAACACAGACTATTATATTATAAATAGAACTTTAGCTTCAAGGTATCATGGATCTGTAGCGTACAGGAAGGGAAGGAGACCCGTAACAAAATAAGAGGGTTCGATTTGGGCAGAGTCTGAATTTTTATTGAACTTTTTCGTACTATAGCTAAAATGCGTCCGCTCTATAAATTGAGGCATGTTAATTGGTAAAAAATGTTTTTTAAATTGACTGGTACTGCTAATGCGTCATATTTGGCTATTATGTAGACTCATAATTGGTGTGCGTAACTTCAGAAGTTTTGTAGTCTGAAAATTTTACTCATTCAGTTTTTCCCAGTAGCGTTATCGGTCATATTTTGCTTGTGTATGCGAAGTGCAACTTCGCCTCTGTGAAAAATTAGCTTGAGACGAATGAACAGGCCGGTAAATTTAACTGTACTTGAATTTTAACGCATGAAAATCTTATTTAGAAAAAGTTTGCAACTCACGATTGACCAGGTAGAGCAAGTTTTGGGGCATTATATTCTTTCCAGAAAAATAAGTTGAAGTTCTATGCGCACTTTACGCGTCAAAGAAAGACATGAGTATACGTTTTTAAGAATATAGATATTTTCGCGTACAAATACAGTACCGGATTTTTTTTGGGAGGGGGCGGACGTCCCCCCTCAGGGATTCGACTGCCGGCTGACCCAAAGGGTCCCCATTTTGTACTATTATGAGATATCATTTTTTGGCTGAATGACATAAAAGTTTTTCTAAAGGCGCCGTTGGTGCCAATATATAGTTATTTTGAAGGGGTAGCGCGCCGAAAAACCCGATTCAAAAAGCTTTTCAAAAAGTGCCTAAGAACACTTTTTTCGGCCTGTTTTTTTTTTAAAAAAATTTGCGCACAAATTTTTGTCGAAACCAGTCTTCGTATGAATTTATGAGAGCTCAGAGAATCAATTTGGTCGATTGAACAAAAAGGTCGACAAAGATTTCTCTGCTGAAAAAAAAATTACCTCATGATCCAGGTCTTAAGAGTAATGAACGTTGTGAAGACTCTTATATAGGTCTTGCAGAAAAAAATTCTTAAAATGCTCTTATAACTGTAGATGTACATTCATACATATTGATGCATTTATGAATGCACTTAGGTGTATGTGAACTTTTTGAGTTCAGTTGAAATTCATTTGCTGAAAGTTACGTAAAAAGCGCTCTTCAAATACGAACATGGAAATGACGCGAAAAAACGTTAACGATTTCTACTTTCGAAAGTGGAATTTAATTTTAAGATTTCCAACGGTATAAAATTTTTATCTATTGATCCAGTTTCTGCAAATTCGGTAAATGTAATCAAAAAAGTGCCGATCAAAATCGTTCTAGAAAATCAAAGAGCTTAAAGAGCATCGATTTTTTCTTTGAAATTCGAAAGTTGAGAATTTTTCAACTAAGTCAGTGTTTTTTTAATGTTTACTTGCGTTCATTACTTTTTTTCCAATTTTCGATTGGTTATGTTTCAAATTGGTTTAATTGTATGAAAAAATGCCAACTGTTCTTGCAAGTGTTTTAACTGTTTTCCATGTTCCCAAATGTGATAAGTTTTCAAAAATTCCGTATTTTTTTCTCATCAACTTTTTTCCAACTGTCTGCTAGCTTTGTTTTGAAGAAGTCTTGAACTAAATAGAGTTGACGTGTTTTTTTTGCTTCAGATATTTATGCGTGGCAGTGATTGCGAATAAAAGACGCAGAAATGTAATGAAGGACTTGGTGAAGATCATTGAACAGGAGAGCTACGCGTACAAGGATCCAATCACACAGTTTGTGTCTTGTCTCTTTGTGGACTATGACTTCGATGGGGCTCAGAACAAGCTAAAGGTCAGATTTTCTTCCAGAATTGAAATTAACTATTAAAAGCAACACGTGTCGTATATTTGCGTGATCTAGAATGGTCCAATCGATGATTTTGAAAAAAAGAGCTTTTTGAAAATATATTTTTGTAAACGCTCATCATACTGGATAAATTTGGGTATTTTTACTTATTCTGCCCAAAATCAACATCTTGAACTGAACCAATTTTGATTGCATCTGATTGTCTAGAATTAATCAGGTCAACTCCAAATGTTTTACTCAGTTTTAAAGTATACTTAGAAATAGCCGAATTCACCGAAAACATAAATTGTTTGGTAAAATATTCAAGATGATTTCAAAAAAGCTACCGAGATTTGCTCAGACTGCTAAAAATTACAAAAAAAATATAGCTCCAGGAGAAAAAAATGACCCCAACCTTCTGCGTTGCTCTAATTTCGGCCTTGATTGCAGTCTCCTTCAGAAAATAGTTATCGTATTTGTATTAACCAATCAAGCGCGAACAGTTTTGTTTTCTACTCTATACATTGACCTAGCCAAATTACCAAATTTGGACGGAATAAGGAAGAAATACCCATAAATTTGTCTGTATCCGATCTTATTGACACAACAAGGACCTTGGGTTGATTTCTCCACGTGATTTTGGGTACGTCAAAGAAGGTTCTTATTTGAACTTATGAAGTAAATTTAAGTCATTCCAGAGAAACTTTTCAAGTCATTATTCCGACTCCGAAGACTCGTTATTTACACTACGACTATCCTTTCTTTTTAACTAAAGTCGAAAATATTGGTGCCACTATTGGGGCGCTTTTATGGCTTTTTGATAGCATGTGCTTTCACATTCGAGTAGTAATAAGTTAACACAGTTGATGCATTTTTAAACTAGCGTCAGCTTAGTGTATTATTAAGAATCTTTTTTTTTCTAAATTAAGTCGCAATAAATTGGTGCCACTATTGGGGCACTCTTACGGCTTTTTGATAGCATGTGCTTGGACATTCGAGTAGTAATAAGTCAACACAGTTGCTGCATTTTTACACTAGCGTCAGCTTAGTGTATTATGAAGAACCTTCTTTTTTCGAACCTAAGTCGCAAATATTGGTGCCACTTTTGGGGCACTTTTACAGTTTTTTGATAGCATGCGCTTTGACTTTCGAATACTAATAAGTTAACACCGTTGATGCATGTTTAATTCATCAATCGAACCCAAAAAAGCTTTTTGTTTCAAACGACAACAATAATTAACAAGTCAATTTCAGAATTTTTAAAGTCAACATATCTCGCACTTTTTGAAATGCTTAATTTATACATAATGTTGCTTCATGTTTTGCGATCTATTACTCCCAAAGTTAGTGTGGACGCGTTCAGTTTGTTATATTCGAGATTATTACTTGCAAAATTGGGGCTTTTTGTATTTAGTGCCACTTTTGCTGAATGACATTGGCAATTTATTAGCATATGCAGCTGCTTTGTTTATGACTAGAGTTTGTCGGTGGTTAAGCGTGGTTAGTGCGTGAGAATCTCTTGATTGCAGTATGTCGCAGATCGAATCCTAGATTTAGACGAAGTTCTGCTAATTCGAGGCTGATTTCTTTTTTTCTTATTGTTTTTCCTAGAGCTGCTTTTCGTCATGTTCTCGCTAATGTTTGCGAAGCGAAGCTTCCCCTTTGTGTAAATTCATCAATTGAACCGAAAGAAGCCCTTTGTTTCAAACAACATAACAATGATAAAAACACGATTTCATAAATTTTCGAACTCAATAGATCTCGCATCTTTTCGAAATGCATTATTTATACATATTGTGGCTTGATGATTTGCGATATCTTACTTGCAAAGTTACTGTGGACGCCTTCAGTTTGATATATTTCAAGTTATTAACTGCAAAATTGTCTCTATTTGTATTTGGTGCCACTTTTGCTGAATGGCATTGGCAATTGATTAGCATATGTAGCTGCTTGATTTGTGACTAGTGTTTGACGGTTGTTAAGTGACCGAGGGTGAGAGAACACAGGCAGAGAGGTCGCAGGTTTGAAGCCCAAACATAGCAAAACTATTTCTAGGCTTATCTCTATCTTTTCTTGTTTCACTTTATAAAGCTGATTTTTTGTCGGGTTCTCGCTAGAGTTTGCGAAGCGCAGCGGTTGCAAAGCGCAGCGTAGCGATTGTATACAAATTGGATGAATTTTACAACACATCGTATTTACAAAAGCAATCAGTTTAGTGTATTATTAAGAAACTTCTTTTTTCTAACCTAAATCGCAAATTAAAGTGTTCCTTAAAAGTGTTTAGTTTTTTGGAAATTTCACTATAGCATTGGAAATTGCAGAGCATCTGTTCTCTGCTTCATTTGTGGCTAGTGTTCGGTACCTTTTAAGCTTCTGTGACTGATTGGTTCGTGATTCTTAATCTCTAGGTCTCAGGTTCGACTCTCAGACGTTGCCGCATTTTTGCTAATTTGAGGCTTACTTATACTTTTGCTTATTGCACAAATAAGCAGAAGTATAAATAAGTATAGAGCTGCTTTTTGTCGTGTTCTGGCTAGTGTTTGCGGTTTGCGAAGCAAAGCTTTGCCTCTGTGTTCCAAAAATCTGTCGAGCGGGTGTGAGATTTTGCCATGGCTAATTTACGGGTAGATGAGCGGATGAGAAGAGGTTTTTTCTTACAACGAGTGCCGATATTCTTGTTTATTAGCTCGTTATACTTGCCAGCGTAAGGTAATAGTACGACTATTGTTTTTGTTCCAACCTGAGTCACAAACATTAGTGTTATTTTTGGTGGCACTTTTGAAGCTGGCTGCATTAGCAGTTTGATAGCATGTGCTTTGACATTCTATTAGTAATAAATTTACACAGTTGGTGCATTTAAAATTCATCAAATGAAGCCAAAAATGCTTTTGTTTTCAAACAATAGAACAATCAGAAAAACTCCATTTCAGAAATTTTACAACTCAATATATTTCAATTTTTTGTAATTTAGTGTGTGTTAATAATGTAGTGTTATTAATGCTGATGAAGCTTTTGTAGTCTTCTAGAGAGGGACTCTTTGCACGATGAAAATCGCTGCGAAGGGCACCAACCTACCTTTACTTTTTTTGGAGCGCAAAAAGCATGCTAGGCCCGGGATTTTGGTTTCGAAGCGTCCTAAATCGGCTGTGTCTATTAATTCTAGTCCTCCTTTCTAACCGGCATCCCTCCAAACCCGGGTCCTAAGTCTGCCATCCGTGCAAGCCGAGAATTGCACACTCCAGTAAATGTTTCGTATCATATTTGCCGACGGATCCACCTACAGTCTTCGAATCGCATAACTTCAGCAGCTTTTCTGAAACTTTAACTTTCCGACTTATAAAAACCACCCTATTGGCTCTTCGAGAAAAACACTCCCGAATTATCCGAATCTAAAAAGTTATAACGTTTCAATTCCCCGACCTGTAACAAATCTCACGAAACCAATCACCAGCTGCAATTACGTTGTTATTTTCCTTCAATTAAATTGCAATGGCATATCTGGAGAATCACCAGAAATAAATCACTAGTGTGTGAGTATGAAATACAGCAGTTTTTCCAGTAAAAAGTTAGAAAAACGATACTTGAGCCCAGTTTACACAGCCCAGTTTCACGAGGGATAGTCCGCGAGAGGGAGGAGGACTTCTCACTGCGTTCATAGATTTCTCCTTCAATAAGGCGTTTGAGGCACAGTGTTTGAAATTAATGGCTTACAACCAAAAACACCGTTCAACAAACTTTAAAATTCCTCTGCGCAGCAGTTGACGAAAAGGCGCTCATTGCTGCACTGCTTGCCGAAGGCATTGCCATTGTTGTGGGAGACGCAAGTGCCAGCTAGCCTCTCTATATTCAAAAGTACTTGAGGATATCAGAAGAGAAACTTTAGGAACTGAGGGTGCGACGTTCTTCAGATTCGTAGAGTGCATACCAGACGTGCCCCAAACATCAGGCTTACAGCAGCTAGCTTATGCATTCGGTATTTTTTGAAGCTATTATCAGGCTGCAGAGGACTTCAGGTCGTGAGTCAGTCCAGATTTGAGACATTTTGAAAAGAACATTGCGCTTATAACGTCCAAAATACTAAAAATAGTGAAATGTTTTTATCAGGGAAGGTAAATTTAAAAAATATCTGAGTAAATACCGGTTTACATTGACTAATTTGTATAGATTGTTGTGATGTCATTAGAAGATAAGTTCATAGAAGACAAGCTACCTTTCAGTATTTGGTCATGAAAGTGTAAACTTTATCAAAATATCTAGCCATATTGAATTTCGTCTTTCACAATTTCGGACAAGAAATTGGGCTCCTCATAGTTGTCAGCGATTCGTTCTAGTCTAGTGACACTGTCCTCTAAGCGGATCAATGACTGTGTGATTGAATTATTAGCCGACACCTCAGATGGGTTCCACTCGAGTGCCTCAATCGCAAATCGGACCGAGTAGTCGAATAGCTGCCTAACCTCTCTAAAGGTTAACATGAAGTACAACAGTTTGGTAGGGTTCGTATACTTCTTTATCTGGCCTAAACTTGTTTCGGCTACTGAAACGTAATGCTTAGATAAATGCTTTCTTATCGCTGTCAAATTTTCGATAGCATCATTTTGTTCTGTAAGATTAGTAATCTGGATCTTGTATGAATATTTCATCACTTCTGCGTCCTCAATATCTCGGCGTCCATCAAAAGAAAAAGTTGGCCTGAATTTTATCTCGCGGATTCCTTTGCGTTCTATGTCATCCCGTACCAGCTCCTGGAGAATTCTTGATTCCTCTGTTGGCGTTTTTTCTTGTCCAGTAGCTGAGGCTCGCTTCTTAATCATTTCAATCGTATCTCGGATTATCACGTAACTGAGTTTCCAGCAGGCGTTCCATTCTGCTGCGTTGATGGCGTGATCAAATGCAGTTACTATGCAGGATTCGTACGTGCTTCCTATTTCGTTAATGTATCTGTCGCGCGAACAGACATCTTGTCTTCCATCGCTCGGTGACCGTAAGTGTTGAAGGTACATCATGGAAACGTGCGTGCATAGCTTGGCGAGTTCTTTTCTCTCCTCACAGGCTGCATCAATTTGAAGTTCTGTTTTATGTTTCTGGTATTGAGGTTCCAGAAACAGAATACTCTGCATGTACTTGTCGGCTGCCAAAATATTATGACCCAATCGGTTATGTTCATGTCCCTTTTGCTCCCAGTTTTCCCACCGGAATAAATCTTCGGTTGGCAGTGGAGCAAGGAAAGGGTTTCTCTCGGTCCTTATATCCGAATGACTTGCTCGACCATAATTTTTCTCATTCCATATAAACTTCTCCAAACACTGTAGTTCATCTAGCACGTCCGCGTAGTTAACTAGAAGATTGCATAGTTTGAAGGCGTTCTTGCGATCTTTGATGAAGGCTTCTGTGCATAGATATGAGCTAAAGAAGAACTTGAAACGCCATTCGCAGCCTGAACTATCCTTTAAAAACACCAGAAGGCGGATTCCAAATGTTTGCAATGCTTCTAAATCCTCTTTCTTGTAAACGTCATCTATTTGAAAGATAGTTTCATCGTTTGGGCCTAGGAAGACATTAACGCCCTCAATTTTGGGAATCTTTATTCGCGAGTTGACTTCTGAAATACTTCGCAATCCCTCGAAATGTGTCAATGGACCTACTAAAATAGTTGGAGTCTTAGCAGCAATTTTCAGTTCAATGAGCTCGGAAAGAGAACCAGCGTTTGCACTGTTGGCTTTTCCGCTACTATCACAGTGCGTGAACTCATTATTACCTCCTTCGGCTATCACAAGAACTAGTTTGGTGGATGCTCTGGTCACAGCTGTGAAAAACTTAAGTCCAAGGTCGGCTCGGATATCTTGAGGCTTTTTGTGGTGCATCAAAACAACTACTATTCCAAATTCAGCTCCTTCAATGTCTGCTTCTTTGAAGAAACATATTGTTGGCAAGGAAGAGCGAGACACTCTAGTTGGGTCTTGTTTGGATTCGCCATTATTTTCTGTTGAACTGTAAGAATAACTTGGGCTTCTGCATTCTAACCCTCTTGCTTCAAGGCCTTCAAGTACTTTCTGTCTGCTTTCCGAATCAATAAAAGGAACCACTGGTACCAACTCCAGACCTTTGGATCTCTCTGCATATTCAACAATGCTGGAGACCGACTCTTCGATGAAAAGATTGACAATGTCTGTCTCTGATTTGTAGCCCTGTTGGCTGATTGTTCGAATGTCCGGTCTCTCCCCGTCAAAGTTATGTGCAGGTTTGCACTCAAATTCAAAATTTTGTAAACTACTGCCCTTAATCCATCCGTCTGCAAATTGAGCAATTTTGCAAGTAGATCTGAGTGAAGCGCCAAGGTGAATATGCTGGTAGGAGCTGTCGAGAGTTTCATCTTTGTTAGATGCAAATAGAACACAGTGCTGGTCTTCTCTCAGATCTCCGAGTAGATATTCGTGGTTCACGTGCCTGAATTCATCGCAGAGTAATAATTTGCTCGGCTGTAGTTGTCGCTTGAAAAGATCATGGAAGATTTTTGCTTTCTCTTCCTCGAAGGTCTGTAAAGTCCGGAAATCTTGCCCAACTGAAACGAGTTTTGAGAACTAAACATTGTATGAGAACAATTGATGGCTAGATATTTTTGAGAAGTGCACTTTCACAACCTTCGAGTTTGAATAGAAAATCAATATCAGCGTTACCTGGAGTTGTATAAACAGATATTGCTGTTGAGCTGAGCATCGTCTGCAGAAGAGTAGTTAGAACTGGGGAACTGAAGCTTCCGTCGCACACTAACACTTTAGTTGACCCCTCCTTGTCCGGAGTTTCAGCTTTTGCAGTTGCCGAGCTGCTGGGAGCGTCTTCAAATAGACATTGAGCCATCTTGGCTATGAATGTGAGTAGCATGGTCTTTCCAGAGCCCTTGCAACCGGTTACTATCAACCTCAGGCCCTTTTTGTTTGCCTTATCGTCTTTTGACGACTTCACCTGCACCAGTCGCTGGAATACCGTGGAAATTATGTTAAGCTGATCGTTAGTCCATATGATGAATCTTTTCTTCTCGGATCCGTGGCGCTGTGCATGTGATGCATCTGTCAATTTTTCTTTGATTATTTCATCAACTGATGCCGCTTGTTGCACTTGCTGGATATATTTAGATTGACTTCGTTTCGAGACAGTCTGCATGAAGTTCATGCTCATCTGGTTGTGGATGAGAGCCAATGAGCCTTCGAGAGAATTTAAAGCAACCAATCGTGCAACCAGTACCTCAAGTTGCTCCCCCATTTGAATATCCCCAATTTGGGATAATTGCTGGGACCAAGTAGCGCCAAAGTTTTCTGTTTTTAGGTCGGTTTTTGTAAATATCAGTGTTTTGCTAGTCGCATCCATATTTGATGGCGGCTGAAGATTGCGGAATTTTCCTTTGTTGTCATCGTGGAAAGTGCACAAAACATTATGGATTGGAATGGGATTGTCTTTTGATTCGTCTTGACCATATTGAAGAAGCAGCCTTACGAAGTTTCCGTGATTTTGCATGTCATTTATGATCTTCTGAGGAGTCAGACCTTTGCCTCCCTGTTTTTTGATGTTGAAAACGAACACGCCTTTACTTGGATGAATTAGCACAGTGTCTATTTCAACATGAGCAATTGTTGTTTTGAACAGCTCTCGCCCGTTTATATTTGGGAACACTATTATGCCTTCCCGATCTGGATCGGACGAGTTAAGGAGCATCTTGTATACTTTAATTTCACCGATTTCACCCTTCTGAAGCGAACCAAACTCCTTCTGCATGTCAGAGGACATCTGTACGTTGTGTAGGAACAGCCGAGGTATTCTAGCAGTGGGAACAGACGTCACATTGCCACTGTTGGGCCATCTTGGGTACTGGTTGCGCAACATCTGAAGAAGCGTTTTGTTTTCCCTGAAGGGAACTCGCCTTCCTCCAGGCATGTCTAGCTCGAAAGAAGACAGCTCTTCGAAAAAAAGTTTCTCATCATCCATCTGATTTCTTTCTTGTGATTGCGTTCGTTATATTTTGGTTGAATTGTTGGGTTATTTTGTTTTGTATGCTAAATACTTGCCACGCAATGACATTTGGACTTCTTCGCATTCGTCGATATGCTAATTTAAAATAAACTAGATTTTGCTGACGAGTCTTATGTGCTTTAAATTACAAATGTCGACATACTATTATTTGTTCAAATTAAATAAAAATACAACCATTTTTCTTCCCTCTGAAACTGAGGTCTTTCAATTGAACAACAGCAGAAAAACGCTTGTATTTTTTCAGTGAAGTTTTTTTTGGTTATATCGGTTGAATGAATTATTTCTATAAATTGGTTTAAAATAAACACTGTTAACCAGTCAGATAATTCATTTAAGTCGCTAAAGGAGCTTGCTGTTTTACAAAATATTAAATATTACGTTTAGGTTAGTAAGATTTTTATCTGATGGTTGTTTCAACGAATGATTGTGAACTCAATCACTCGAATAAGACCTAGATAACTTTGACCACTCCAGATTTAAGAAAGGCAGAGTTAGTTATTAAATGAGACTTAATAGCTGTTTATAGTACAGTGATGACTAAATAGATAATTAAATGCGAGTTTAAGGTGATGCGATTTTTCTATTAAAATTGAAACTATTTTCGAAAAAACAAATTCATCAACAATTTTTACGCTTGCGATTCGCAAGCGTCTTTAAATCGGAACATGGGCTTTTTTTCAGGTAAAGAGTTTTTCTAACAGAGTCATTGAACCTTTTTCTTTTCAATTCTTTCGTTACTTCTCTTTTCGGCAACCAATAGACATGAGTTCTGTTCGAAAGTTGTGTTTATGTTGGTTGCACATTTTCCTTCTCTGATTTAGTTTAATTTAAGTTTGCTCATATTTTTTATGGTTCAATAAACGCGGTGAAGGCACTTTTGTATAGATCGTATTGATTTTTTTTTTGAAATTGTCTGCCGGTTTGACTTTTGATTTACTTTCAAGTTTAATTCAAATCATTCGATAACAGTAAGGCAATTCCAGTTTCGAATACCCAAATTTTTTCAATGGCGCAAAAATATTTCAAGGCTTCAGTAAAAAAAATTTAAATTTTCAGATTTCCCAATGGAATAATTAAATTATTGATTGATTCAGTTTTAATTCTGGAAGCTCAAAGAGCTTTAAGATGATACATATTCAATTGAAAGATAATGTTGTAGGGATTTTCCCATGCATAAGTGGATTTTTCTTGATTTGTTAGGGAAACCGCTATAGACTTGGAAAAAGTCAAGTTTTTGACATTATGAATACTTTACCTTTCCAATCAGCACTACATATTCTTTAAAATTATTGAGCATGTACCTCCAGCCTTAGCTGAGTCACTAGCTCACTTAGTCACAGCAATTTGAACATAACAATTTTCAAGAAAAGCTGTTTAACAGTTATTTCATTTGCGAGAGCAAGTGAATTGTAATTGGGTACTAGACTGTTTTTTTTCCCGTAAATATCTTTTCTTACATAATCTGTAAGAAATGTCTGCATTTTGTGTAGTTACTTTCATGTGCAAAACGTACAAGCTGACATGCTCAAATTTGTGAAAGTTCAAGTTAAACTATCTAATATATCATTTTAGTTAGTGGTTAGTGGTTTTTGTCTTAATTTCTGTCCGTTGATTTTCCAAACGTTTTTTTAGCAAATATAGATGATATTATGTGTTAGGCTTTTCAAGCAGTTTTTTTCCAGTGTTCGGGTTTTTCTTCAGCAATTTTTCACAATACTTGACAGGCAAAAATTTTTCTATAGATGTATCTTTTTCGACGACTGCTTTTTTTCTTTACAATATCGTGTAAGGCAATATCGTTCGCTTCTGTGTCAAATAAATAACTGCAATCGATGTAATGATATTTCTTATTATTGTTGAAAGATTATATTGCATGTTTAAATGTTACTCATTGAAGTGAATTGTCTTTTATTTAAGTGGTGTTTTCAGGAAAAAAAAAACATAATTTTTGTTGACTCCCACTTTTTATTTTAATTTCACTTTCGCATTCTTATTCATTTAATTAAATATGGGCAAATTTTTCTCCAATAATTGAAAAGCAAATGTCGTGAAGGATACATTTTTTCTGCAGTTTCGTAATTTAAATTAAATTTATTGATTTCTTATCAAAATACAATATTGCGATTGATGCAATGTTCTTATTATTGTATCTCAGAAGTTATCGTGAAATGCAAAGAGTTTTAAGACGAGTTAGTTTTCTCAAGGAAGTTCGCGAAATCAAAATTATGTAATTTTTCTTGGATTTTTCAGTGCATTTACACTTTTCCAGATGTCTGATGTATGTTTTACTCGGATAACTTGTCAATTTTTTTGCTAGTACCATTTCTTTCCGGTTGAGCTACATGTGTGTTTTCTAGGAATGTGAAGCTGTCATCACAAACGACTTCTTCTCAACTGCGTGTACTGAGGATTTTATGGAGAATGCACGTCTGTATATCTTCGAGATGTTCTGTCGTATCCATCAGGTCATCTCGATTGACATGTTGGCCCGAAAACTAAATATGGGTGCTGAACAAGCCGAACAATGGATTGTGAATCTGATCCGAGATGCGAGAATGGACGCCAAAATTGATTCCCAAAAGGGACACGTGTTAATGGGAACTGTAGATGTTACAGTATACCAACAGGTTTTGGATAAGGTGAGGGCGCTCCAGTTTAGAACGCAGCAGTTGGCTAATAATCTGAACAAGCTCTCGGATCAACATCATTCTAACCAGTCTCATTCGTCGCATGGCTACAAGTCGGCGGGAAGTGCATCCTCGCATCAGTTCGGAGCTCTGACCAACAATAAGCAAGAGTCTTCGGCGCCCACGTCAGTTTGGAATACCGGCGCGCTTTGATCATATTAAGTATTAACAGTTGTCGGTGCGGTAAATGATATCAATTTGTGAATTTCAAAGCATCAAAACATACTACAGTTGCAGTTTGATCAAGAAAATTCCCCAATTTATGCGAATCCTCGATTTTTCTGAATACTCAGTTTTGATGCTTAAAACGACCTTTTTTTGCATAGCAACGGTGTTATTTGATATCTGCAACAGCGTGGAGTCATTTGTCGGTTTGAGACCAGTTGACTGCATAAAATTATCTCGATGTTTTTGCTTGCTTTGAATTGATTATTGGACGACAACGAGTTTTTTTTCAATCTTACAGTTGTTTGGAATGTCTAGAAGCGATGTGCAGTTAAAAGTTGAAGAGATCATCTATCGATTCAGGGATGCAGAGAAATGTTTATAAATATGTTACTGGCGATGTTTTTGACGATCGGAAGAATTTCAAAAGAACTGGTCTGAATTTCAGATCTGATAATGGAGCGTCTTCTTCGACTGGGTGGTCTCGGCGGTCTGGGAGGGGGAGGGGCTTCCCAACAGCAGCCGCAAGATGGTCCCATGGTGGACACAGCAGAGACCATCTACATATCCTCCATGTCACTCCTGAAGATGTTGAAGCACGGGAGAGCAGGAGTGCCGATGGAGGTGATGGGTCTGATGCTGGGCGAGTTTGTAGATGATTACACTGTGAAGGTTAGTCAAATTTACTCTCCCCAAAAAATGGAATTTCAGGGTAAACTTTATGCCATAGTAAGTGACCTGTGGTTTGCTCATGTGTTTTTTGTTTCCGTTTTTTAAATTTGATGTATGATTTATTTTCAAGTTCACTAAATCCGTTCACTAAAGGGAAGAAAAATCATTGCGCCATACTATAGCCAATTTGCTAATGGCGACCGACGCATAGTTTCAGAATTCAATTTTGATTTAAAGTTTCCCTGCTGAATAAAAGAAATACCTACTGATCCAGTTTTCTCAAAGTGGGTTAGCTTTATCAATAATAATAGCAGAAATTGAAAACTGTTCAAAAACGTTAGTTTTTTTATCTGTTTCCTTAGAATTCAGTGACACTTTATATTTTTGTTATACTTTTGCTTTCAAATCTAAAAATCATCTGTTTAGGTTTTTCTTTTAAGATAATGTGGCTGCAAAAGCTAGCTCTGAAATTCACAGAGGGAAATGTTGGTCTTTGATTGGGGTTTTTTTTCTATGCAAAAGTAGGTAGACGAATCAAGGAATAATATGTTGCGTATAGTTTTATGGTCTTAATTGAGTCCAGTTTATTGCTGCTTCCAGGTGACAGATGTGTTCGCAATGCCTCAGTCTGGAACGGGAGTCAGCGTAGAGGCAGTTGACCCCGTGTTCCAGGCCAAAATGTTGGACATGTTGAAGCAAACCGGCAGACCAGAGATGGTGGTCGGCTGGTACCACTCCCACCCTGGCTTCGGCTGCTGGCTCTCCGGAGTGGACATCAACACACAGCAGTCGTTCGAGGCACTCTCAGACCGAGCAGTTGCAGTGGTGGTGGATCCGATTCAGAGTGTGAAAGGGAAAGTAGTGATCGATGCGTTTAGATTGATCAATGCTAACCTGATGGTCCTAGGACAGGAACCACGACAGACGACTTCCGTGCTGGGACATATTAACAAACCATCCATACAAGTGAGATTACTGATTGAATTTAAATTCAAGTAATCATAAATTGTTCTTGAAATTACCTTAAATTTTTTCTTTAAAGTTCGAAAGTTGGAAGCTGTTGAAAATGAACGTAGTGATTACTCTTATATATGTAGGTCTTAGTGTTTTTTTTTAAATTTAACAATCGCAAAAGATCCCTCGAAATTTTTTTAAATTTGATTCGGTTAAATATTTGGCCTTAATATAAGTTAGCTTAATAATAAGGTTAAATAATAAGTGTTAAATAGGCAATCTGGATGCCAATAAACTACACGCTGTTTCTGAATATCCTGTTCTGTACGACTACCCTAATACTTATTTCTTTTTTAGGCACTAATACATGGCTTAAACAGACATTACTACAGCATACCAATCAAGTACCGCAAAAACAAACTTGAGCAGAGTATGTTGATGAATTTGCACAAGAAGAACTGGTGCAGTGGATTGCAATTGAGACCATACGATGCCTTAGAAGCTGAGAACCTCAGTCAAGTGGATAGGATGAAGTCGCTAAGTTCACAGTATGCTAAGTGGATCGAAGAGGAGGAGAAGATGAGTAAAGACCAGTTGGAAATCAGGAACGTCGGCAAACAAGATCCGAAGAGACATCTGGAAGAAACTGTTAATGAAGTGCTGACTGAAAATATATCTCAAATACTGCAGTCTACGCTAAACACGGCTGTGTTCCAATAATACTTCGAGTTAGAATAGACTTAAAAATCCATCCAGGACTAGGGTTTGAGAGTATTGTGTTAAAAAAAGTCGACCTAAAGGAGTGTATGGACTAATGATTTTAGATTTATTAATGCTGTTGTAATTATGATGTGACATCAATTTGATTTTATTCAAGTTGAAATTGCGAATGGCTGAGACGTTTTGAGTTTATATGTGAAATGAATTTATTATTCTTGTCAACTTATAGTGCAATCAGCGCCGGCCCAGAACAATTTTTACTGGTCTCTTTTTTCCGATGACCTCGAGCTGCTTCACCGTAGGTTCAATTCAAATGCATTTGTTGAAAGGAAGGAAAAATACGCTCTACAATTAAGTCGAAATGGAACGAGAAAACTTGAATGACTTTTCAACGATTTTAAAAGTTTCGAAGATTTCCCTGCATAATAAGAAAACTAACCATCGATTGGGTTAGTTTTACGAAAAAGTATATGACAAAACTTCAAGTGTTCTCAAAAACAATCAGTCGTTGTTTTCGGTTTTCTGTGGTTTTCTTTTTCATTGATATGTATCTAAATTTCTGTTGACTTTGCCGCTTTCTTGTTTTTTTTTGGCAAATGAAAAATTTTTCCGACTGAAACTGTAAATCAATTTAGTTTTTAAGAGTAATGAACGTAGTTTTTTTTCAGGAAAAAGTCTTTAAATTTGTTCACATTCAATTTTGATTTTTCGTTGTTCGAATTTTCAAGTTCAGTGCATTTCTTTTATTAAAAGGAAGGCAAACTCCACTATCCAACGGCAAAATTGTAAAGGTCAATAACAACGGGATCGATTTCTAATTTCGAAAATGGAAATTAATTATCAGATTTCCCAGCGAAATAAAAGTTCTACATATTGATCCATTTGTCAAATTGGGTTATATTAAGCTAAAAAGTATCCATCATCAATTTTTCAACAAATTCAAAGAGATTTAAGGCCATCTATTTTTTTCTTCGAAATTCAAAATTTGAAGTTTTTTGAAAAAACAAGTTCATTACTCTTTTCCAACTGTCAGTTGGCTATATTCTGTTTAACGAAGTATTTTCACGTATTTACTTGCGTTTGTCATTGAATTTAATCGAGTTAGTTTTTCGATTTCGTCTTGCTGAATTATTATGATAAATTTGTTTTCAAGCTATGCGCGCTACAAAAATGTAAAAAAAAAACTTTTTAGTGTAACGTTTGAAGAACACAACCAGCTCTAGCGGACATGAAGGCCATCCAGCCTGTTTGAATTGCCGCAAACGAACTTTCTAATCCATGAGAATCATGTTTGTTAAACTTTATTTGAATTGTTAAAAAAATTTTCCTTCTGATACTTTGAAGTTACATGAATAACTGATCGTTTTAAGTATCCAAAAAAAAATTTAAAAAACGCAATGCTTAAAACAAAAGCTTTTTTAAAAAATTAATTAAAACCTCTTAGTTTCTAGGTCGCAGGATTGAATCCGACTCGTAACCTAGTTTTTACAAATAACAGGCTTTAATTATTCAGTTATCGGTTATTGATTTCAAAAGAGTTTTTTTAATGAGTTTAGGTTCTGAACAAATAATTAAAGTTGCGAGTTTGGACTGAAGCTCTTGAAGTTTAAAGATATGGATGCTGTTATATACAAAAGGAGTTGTTTGCTGTGCAAGAAACTGAGTGCTCCGACCACAATCATCTAAGAAAAAATCGCTAACGAGAACACATTTTGAGACATGGAAACAATCGCCCGATTCTTTTGTTTGACTGTTAAAGTTGACTGAAATAATCGAAAACCCGATAAAATGACGGGTAATAATAGCTAAGAAAACTGTTGTGAAAGAAAATTGTGAGTGGTTAGCCTCTAATCAATTTTCGTCTCTTGTGTGATTTTTTTCGGAATCCAAATTAAGGGGGAGTTGGTTGGTGCCAAAATGTTCGGTTCTTTAATGCAAAAATTTATTCCGTTGATGGATGCTACATTCTTTAGTATAATGTAAGGGTCTTCAAAAAATGGTTCAGTATGGAACTTAACAACGATTCAATTTGTGTATTTTTGTAAAGTGGTTTTTTTCTACACAAAAACAATTTGATTTGAGGTTGTCAACTTTTAAATTATTCTAGCTATTCGTTTCTGGACTGATGGAAGAATTCATAATTTTACAATGTGTTTCCTTGTGTTATGAAATTTTATATAGAACTGAAAGCTTATAGGCTGTTTTTTTTTCTAATTTAGCTATACACAACTTGCAACCCTTTGAATTGGTTCAGCATGAAAATAAAAAATGTGTTTATCTACAAAAATGTGTGGAACTACGCAAAATATTTCAGTAGTTCAACTGGTGCAGTTGTGTGATGCTGAATAATTGTTGTTTGTTCCACTTAATGGAACATAATTGAAAATCCTGGAAATTTTTTTTAGATAGAACTATCGTTCAAAACTGCTAATTATAAATTCAAAAACCTATTAGGTGGCTTCCTTCATTCTAGCTGATTGTTCAGATGGTATAGAATTGCGGATTCGTAACTTTAAAAAGTGAGAGCAACGAAGTTAAGTTTTCTCGATCTGATTTTTTTTATTATAATTTTTTTTATCTGATTTTTTTTTGATTCTGGATCAACATTTGATTCTAAAAATCTACCTTATTTTTTTACACAAGCATAGCTTGTGTTATAGTATGAAATATCTTTTTTTCAACCTAAAAACATTGTTGCGTCGCAAATATTGTTGCGATAAAATGTATTCATTTTGAAAACGCTCATTTTGACCAATAACCAGCTATTAAGTACAGCCAATGCTAAGGATATTAACACCGACTGTTAATGTTCCGACTTTCGAAACGGAAGTTACGGAATATTTATGATCGGGGCGTTTTTTTCTCCAGACAATTTTCGACTTTTTACCGAGCCATTTTTGACCGATATTTTATATCATTCAAAAGGTATTGT